CCGCTGTGGTCATGTTAAATCAATTTCTAAATCACATTTAAAAACGGAAACGATTGACGTCAAATCAAAATGACATCACAGACACACACACAACAAAAAGACTAAATGAGCAAACATTTAGTCTGGTTTAGTGGGTTGTTGGTGTTTTTTTTTTTTTTTAAGTTGGGGAGTAATGTGCAGAAGCAGTGTGTTTTAACCTGAACCAGGGAACAGGATGGAACTGTCGTTCATCAGACATCAGGGGTCAAACGGGGGTTTGAAGAGTGAAAGTTTAAAATTCATGAAAGTTAGATTCATACATTTAATTATTGGCATTTCATGTTTTCCTTTATATCTTCTACAAACTTGAAAAACATCTTCGAAATGCTTAAATCAGCTTTGAAAGGAGTCCTGGTTTTACTTTACATTTCAGTGTTAGGCAGACCTGTGTGTGGTTAGCATGACAGGGAAATGAGATGTCACATTTTTCCAATGACTGAACTCAGAGGGTGCCGACACACACAGCAGAAAGAAGAGGACCAAGAATGGGCCCCTGAGAGACGCCATGAGACGGATGAGCTGAAGAGGCTGAAGTAAAACTAGACCTTCATTAAAGTTACTTAAATAAGATTCAAATTATTTCAGTGGGGTTCCTTTAATTGCTAAAGATGTGCTCTTCGGAGTTTCTGTTGCATTTTTCAATCAATTAATACACATTTTGTTTCTTGTCTTCACTTTCCAAGGAAAGACAGTGAAACGAAGAAATGTCTAACACAATTGTCCTCCTCTCCAGGAACGCTACATGGTGGTTAATGGCTTTTCTAAAGATAGTTGCAGCTCAGAAATGTGTCCAACAGAGAGGCCTGTCCAGATGGAACTGTTGCTGTTGCCTAAATCTGTTTTATTGTTCAGGGCCAAACAATGAAAATGTTGTTTTTCTGTTTCTCCTTCTTGGTGCATTTATTATTATTAAACTTCAACTAGTGCAGGTTCTAGTGATGGTACCTGTTGGTTAGTCACAGGTTCATGTTTTCATCTGTACATTAGCAATGCTGTTGCACAATAAAGCAACAGCTGGTCCAATCAGAACCAGCACATAGGCAGCAGTACTTCAGGCAAGACACTGTTTTTAAAAGCTTCATGTTAAGCCATTCAGATTGGCATTTATAACATCATCATAAGAAATAACTTTGTTTCCATTGGCCATTTCATTGCACAATTTGAGATTTTGAAAAAAAAAAGTTTAATGGAAACACACAAATTTCAAAGACAAAAAAAACATTCTTTGATTAAAAGAAATACCTCACAGCACAAGGTGGGTGTTTTTTTTTTGTTGTTTTTTTTTGCCATATTGAAACTGGTTTATTTCACAAATCTGCAATGGAAACACGTTTTCTACATCACATAAGTCACATGATCAACAACTGCATGTTACTTCTGGCGGAAACCACAAAGAAGAAGACGACAGGAAGTAGGTGGAGGATGATGATGCAGCATGTTTCTTCATGGTTCATCACATGAACAAACTTATTCACGTGTGATTTTAATTGCGTTTCTTATAAAAATTTGAACACCGCAATTGCAAAACTGGGGGGGGGGGTTTGACGTTAGCAGAATATTGGCAAAGTCTTGCGTATATTTGGAATGTCAGATGCAGCTAATGAGACATGAAACAGACGTTTTGTTTGGACTAGACACCTATTGAGGTCAGTCTTATCTTTTTTCATCCATGTATGCTGGCATGTATAGAAACTTAGTTGTTCATAGCAAACCATCCTGTGACTGAGAAACAAAGCGGTTTCTGTGCTCACCATACTACTGAGACTGTCCTTCCAAATGTTCACTGACATCTGCATCAATTCAGACTGTGGAAGAACCAGTGCTGGTCCAGTTGGAGCATTTGATACTGTTGATCAGTGGATCAGTCTAATCTGGAGAGCTGGGCTGGAGTTCCTGGTAAAGTGTTTGCCTTGTTTGAGTCTTAGCTAAAGATCAGGGACTTCATTGTTGCCAATAGGTTGTATTGTAACCTCAGTGCCTGAATCATTAAAACTCATTAAAACATAATGAATGTACTGAGCCCAACAACAAAAAATCCGTTGAATCTAGAATTTGTTGGAAAGACTACATAAGACTATACAATAAAATATTCATACTTCATCATTACCTTTCTAGCAAAAATGATTTTTAAGAAGCGTCACACAGTGATCACATTAAAACATTTGGACATGTTAGAGCTGCATTTTGGGAAAAAACAGTCGTAGCAGAAGAGCAGCAGGAACCACAATGGAATGAATGGAGAGACCAACCCTCGGTTCATAGAGAACCGAGGGTCTATAATTTATATATTGAGAGCTGTTCCTGTCGTTACCTTTCATACTGTACCTCCCGTAGGGTTAGTATGAACTGCCTCCATGACAGGTAAGGTTATTATCAGAGGAACGAGCCTCATAAAAGCAGACCTGGAGCTGTCATGACACGTCACATTTTTTTTACATTTCCGATGCCAGTAGATTTAATTACTGCTTTTTCATGCATGAATGCCAGAGAATTCAGAAAAATGAGCTCACAGTGAGTTTCAGCTCACATAATATTGAGACGATCGTGACATTCTTAACATTACTTAGTATTCTAAGTACTTTTGAAAACTTGAGTATTTTCAATAGTACTTTAGCACTTTAACTCGAGCAGTGTTTACTATTGAGTAGGATTTGACTGGAAAACATTCAAAAATTATTTAACTTTGACTAATGGGGAAAAAAGGTACAAGTTGACAGGAGAATCACAGTTTAAAATCTACAAATTCAGAACTACTAGGAAAAAAAGTGGAGTCAAACTGTGGAGTAATCTGAATTTTGAACTTAGACAAAAACTGTTCAAATGATTGAACAATTTCTGAATAGTATTATTCAATTATTGTTGGTGTTTGTGCTGGTGCTCGTTTTTTTGGTGAAATTTAAAGAAATAATGATTGTTCATCCATTGTAGTTAGTTAAATGTGGGTTTAGTTGTTATATGCTGGATTATACAAGTAATGTAAGATTATGTAGGTGGATAAGGAGTGGACATTTTGGTAAGTTGGTAATATGTAAAACATGGCATTATGCTTTATGCTGTAATTATTTTGTAAATATTCAAAAAGTAATAAATAGGACTTTTCTCACCAAAGAGTGTGTGGTCAGTGTGATCTGGTAGTGCTCACAGATTTAGCAAGATGCTGACTGGAACGTTACTTTTTCTAAAGTAAGCAAACTTTGGATATTTTCATGTTAACGTCTGGAATATCAAATAAAATGTGAATAAAGTGGGGGGGGGGGAAAGAAATGAAGGTCCATCTGGGTCAGGTCGCTGAAACGTTGCTTTTGATCTGGAAAATCCCGGCTCCTACAGATGAACATCCAGCTGTTCCTGCTGCGCTGATCATCCATGCAGAAGCTCACCGACTTGCACGCTGACCCTCTTTAACGTTTCTGTTTCACTAAGCTCATTTTCGTGATGGGAGCATGTTCAATAAACATGGAGCTGATACTTGTCAGAGTGACATCTTGACTATAGGAACAAATTTGACTTTGCTCAGCAGTTTTATTTCCCTTTACATATTTGTTCTGTTCTTTTTTTCCCCCTCACTATGAAATGTATAGAGAGAGCTAGAGATTAAAAAAAAGAAGTCTTTTTCAAATTATGCTTTTAATTAAGGAAAAAATGCGACCCTGTCGGGGTACTTGTCTCAAATCATTATCCATTTTTCCCACTTTTGTTGCGTGCACAAAAGCAAAGCATTTTTCGTTTTAATTAAATGAATAAAAGTGGAGAATTTGTTTCATTCGTTGTTTTGTTTCAAATGAAAGAAAATTGATCTGCCTAAGTGTAATTGGACTGCTTCGCTTTTGTGAAAAAGTAACTACGCTCTCCTTCAATCATGAATTAATTGTCATTTACCACAAAAGATGAGTTCAAATTCCTTTTAGAAACAATCAGTTGACCTGATTACTGCCAGACCAAACGAAAAGCAAACGTTATCAAGAGACCTAGTCAAAGTCTGGTCAATTCAACTGAAACTCAGTGTTGTGGTATAACTATAAATAAGCTTATTCATGCTCTGAAATCCACCAAGTAGGCTGAATTAAAACAATTCTGCAAAGAAGAGAAACAAAGCTCCTCCAAAAGTGACGTAAAACTCTCATTGCTAGTTAGCATTAACACTTGACATCAGTCGCTACCTCCAACTAGCTACTAGGTTTAGAAAGCAATGACAGCTTCTTTGTTTCATAAATAGGAATTGAGAAACTGCTCTTTCTTTGTCTCACATGAAGCATTAGTGTTTGATTAAAAATACAGTAAAAAAAATCCTTAAAGCTGCATTATATAACTTTTTTTAAATCACTTTTCTACAAATTTGTTAAAACTGTCATGAAAATAGTGGAGAAGCAACTTAAGGTTATCCACCGTCAGCGGCGTCCATGCTAACTAGCCTAGCATCTATCACACAATCTGCTATCAGGAAAAAGCTGCAGAGAAGCAGAGAGAGAGGAGGGTGGGATGAGCAGATGCAAGCAAGAGTGACTGACAGCGCTAAGTCCCGCCTCTTAGTTCTGATTGGTTGCTTCCAGTTAGCACTGAGAGAAGACAGAAGAGCTTGATCTTTTTTCACAGAGACCACTTAAATTGATCAGTTTGTCTGATCAACTGAACTACTGGCAACATGTCTCTGAAATTCCAAGCAAAATTTTAGTATTTATTTGCAGAAAATGAGAAATGGTCAATATAACGAAAAAGATGCAGGTCTTTCAGACCTCAACTAATGCAAAGAAAACAAGTTCATATTTATTTAGAAACAATAACATTAATATTAATTTCAACACAGGAAGAGTTCAGATATTAAGGTGGAACAACCAGGAGGTTTTCAATGGGTTTCAGTGCAGTGGTCTCTTCATTTTTTCCAGAGCTGTAGGTTATTTGTGTCGTACCAAACTGTCACGGCATAGTGACAGTTTCAACAAAATTTAGACTATTTTTCTTTCTTTTACAAACGTTGCGTACTGCAGCCATAAGGTGGCCTAAAACCTTTCAAAAGAATACATTCCTTCAAATTTCCAAATGATTCAAATCATCTCAGCAGCTTTGGTGTAAAACAGAAGAGAATTGCAGCATCCTGTGGAGCAACAACAGCTTCTGCTTCTTTACTCCAACCATGCAGGGCACAGCCTTGTTAACTCGGTCCAGTGAGGGTGGCTCTGCTGTCTTGCTGGTGCCGGTTGCTGTCTGTTGCTCTTTCCTTATTGAAGATTCAGTGCACACACAGTGAAGTGGTATCTTTAGCCAATCTTCTCCACGGAGCGCCTCCTTCTGTCGTCAGCACAGCCCACTGTGACCGAGTGGTTACTCAGACGGAAGACTGGAGTTTCTCTCTGTATTATCGGAAGGTCCTGACCTTACTCTTCACGCTGCTTATGCCTTATGCTGTCATGTGGCTCCATTTCTGAAACGGAGTTACAAAACGCTGAGTTGGAACTGCCTTGCACACTTTGAACTTTTGGAGTGTGTGTGTGTGTAGTTGTGTGTGTGTCTGCACGCATCTTGGTGTTTATAATAAATAAACACACTTATCAAAATTTTAGACATTGGCTCAGGAATTGCAGCGGAGCAACAATAATACCTAATGTTAGTATCTGAATATGTTTAGGGTGGGATTGTTGCTACAGTAAGTCTAAATAAAGTGTATGACATCTATGATATCTATACATGATGGCCAAAACTTTGGGAGTGATAAGAAAAAAAAAGTTGAATACTGTAAACGTTTTTCATCTTCAGTTTTTGATGTAACAGTTCATCTTGTTTTTTAATTGTTTTACAGTTATTAGATACATATCAAATAAATATGAAAAGCTTTACTAGCTTAAATGGCAGTATTGTGTAAAATAAACATTTTCAAACTGTACATCATGCTATCATGTTATTCCCTCATCAAAAACATACCTGGAGTGTTGATTTGATTCTGTCATGCATGTTTGAGAAATCCTTTAATCTCTATGGCAACCACTGAGCTGGATGGACCTGGCCCCGTCTTCAAGACGAAGCTCCTCAAAGCTTCAGAACTTCCTCCTTACATAGAACCCCTCCCTCACAACTTCCCCACTGAGTTCCTTCAGACTAGCCAGCAGCAATTAGCAAACACCTGGTGGACCTGAGCATCAGCTGAGCTCATTATAGGAGCTGCTTCTCAGAGCAACGCTGGTAAAAATGTTATGAAAGAGTTAATAGAGGAGCCATGTTGTGATGACTTCCTAAAGGTGGAGCTTATGAAAGAGACAAAGGCCCAATTTCAAACTGTTAAATTACAAAGTCAAGCTATTTCTAAATCACTTTTGATATATGCAGCTTTTTTATAACAACTAGAGCTAACTCTGTACTTTCTGTACTATAAAATGGCCCTATGTGGCTGGAAAATACCTAACACTGCCCCTTTAAAAAATGTGACTTTATGGAAAGTGAAACTGGCTGCTTGACCTATTTTCTGAATAATTCAGCAGCTGATTATTGAACCATTCAGGAGCCCTGAGGAAGAATGGGGAGTTTCTTCCCTTACAATCAGTCAGTCTGTAAAATTGGATTTGAATTAACATTCTGATGTAGTTGAACATTGTGAATTCCACACCCTTGATCCCAATACGTGGGCACCAGTCAAACTGGGAGAACTGGCAAACCATAACCAACACACTTACTTCAAGGTTATACAAGACGTAATATATTACAAAATCAGCTTCATTTCTACACATTCAGACCTCCATAACACCAGGATGTAAGACTCGAAACTGTAGTTTAGTTTTAGTTTGTTTTCTTAGGTTTTATTTGGCGACATATTTCAGGAAGGCAGAGTTTGCTTTCATGTGCATGACAAGTGGATTACAAAGTATTTAGAAGCCGCTTGATGGTAACGATCAGATCTTAAAGGGGGAGTATTATGTGTTTTCCAGCCACATAATGGATCTCATCTTTGATGACTTTTATGTCTGCTCCAGATGATGTCTCCATCAAAAGAATTCAAAGTTTCAGCCACTTTCTTTCCAGAGAGTTCAAAAGGTTCCTCTCCAAATGCAGAGAGAAAGAGATGGATGGAGCAGGCGACAGCGGCCCGGAGTTGACAGACAGGCCCGGGAAGGGAACATGAAATATTTAGCAGCGGTAAATGGAAGAGGTGGCAGCAGGAAGCATCTTCCCTCAAGCCAGGAGTGCTGCGAATGTTTTTATTTGCATGCATTAATATTAACGTGTCATCGGTGTGCTTCATCACTGGAACATTAGTGTCTTTGACCCTCCTCCGCTCGCTCCACATCCTGGCCTTTTAACTCACTCAGACGGCGCTGGCTGTCTGGATTAATGACAGCAGCGCTGTTACACAGTCCTATAGACTCCATTGGGTCAGAAACCTGCAATCTTCAGAAACCCACCTCCGTTCCTTTTATTGGACATGAACTTTTTTTTATTATCATTCACTCGAGAGCATAGCTTTTACGTAGCTAGACTTTTTAAATGTCTGGGCTCACCGTACTTTTGTTGGACAACATGAAATGTAAAGTGTGTGTGCACTTCCTTACAGTCAATATCCCACCTTTGCTTATGTCAGTCCTGAACCAGTTTTGCACACTATGAATTTGATTTTTTGCATGGATTTAAAAATAAATAAATAAATAAAGTTCATGCATGGCTATTGGTTTACATCTTTGGACTCCATTACCTAAATGGAAAAGTTTTGTGTCAGAATAAAGTTTCCAGGAAAAAAAAAGTGCCAGAATGTAATTATATTTATGGATAGGATCGACTGGAACAGAAGTGTGGCCTTGAGCCAATTCACAGTGTTGCGAATTGGCTCAAGGCACTTTACACAAAATAATTTAAATTCAGTTTATTTACATAGAGGAAATTCACAACAAATGTGATAAACTGGATTGAATTGAATAGTTTGCCCATTCCCTGACCAAAACTATTAGTTCAGGTAACTTCCAGTTGTAAAATGGTTCAGGTGGAGTTGCTCACTTCTTGTTTTGAGTATTAATTTCTAAGGAAAATAAAATGCACCATTTATAGTTCCAGGCTTTCTGACCCGTTATCGTCCAGATTCTAGTTGTGGTTTTACTGTCAGTTTGGGTTTTGAGTAGAAGTTGCACGTTGGCTACATTTCCACATCTGGATCCATCCAGAACAGATTTGTACAGATTTGAGCAATGCTCTTTATAAAAAGTAAAATAGGTAACTGGTTCATAAAGATTAGGCCTTATGGACACTATTAATAATCCCAAGCACGCATTCAAACGCAGATAGTAGGTCAGTCCAAAGCACAGACCTACTATTACACCTACGCTTGGCCAGCTGAGGTCAGATGGAAATGAAGCGACGGGTGCGTACGGAGGTAAAGAAACGGCAGTGCATGTCTTTCTCGTGCAGCAAAAGCGCCAAGTGAGAGGCCACGAAGTGATTAATACAAACAGACAGATGGGAATTACTGTCAGGACTGACAGACAAATGAAGTGAGTCAATGTTTGAGAAGACAAAGGTCATTTTCTGCTGCTATGTGTGACGAGATGAGTTAGGGTCATTCCTCCCGGGGGGCCGGGGAAGAGCCGCTGGACGCCGGTGAAGATGTGGAGGGACAGGTTCCTGAGTTTACCCAGACGATACCACTCCCTCTGTTCTTTCTAGATTATTTTGTTGCATTTTAAGTTGCTTTGAAGGCATCCGGAGCTGAGCCAGCCAGATGTCACTGATCATGACAGACCATGACACTTTGTGCAACAATTGATTTGCATGGTATCCTTATATAGATGTGGCATCTGGGCGTCTATGGATAAAGCTTCTTGCAGAGTGAAGACATTTGATGTTCTGTTATTCGGAAATATTATGTAATCTGACAAGTAAGGTGACATTCTGAGCATCATCTGAGCATGTCTGAAGATGGTCATCTGTACAACTTTTAACCATTTTGGGAGGGAAGTGTTGCAGTTAACAATAATGTGCTACTTTGGGTTGATTCGACACATAAACAACACTGAAGCTTGTAGTGGTTAATGTGGCAAAATATGAAAACGTTGAAGGGATATGGATGTTTTTGTGAGGCTTCCTCTCAGGGAAAACAATGAGAAGCTTTTTCTCCTCTGAATACACAGCAGTCACGGTTTTTAGATAAACTATATGGTTTATGTTACATTCATACTCTGTAAATGGTGCTACACTACCGGAAGCTGTCAGTGGGAAACTCAGGTGAATTAAATCCCTGAGAGACGAGAAGAAAACATAAGTTAAAAGATGCAATCACTTCCAGGTCAGTGTTTACATTTACATCATGTTATAATGTTATCTCCTCATAAAAAAAACATACCTAAGGTGTTTCCTTTACTCTTTCATGCATGTTTGAGAAATCCTTTGATCTCCCATGGCAACCATCCAGCTGTGCAAAACGCCTGGTAGGACCTAGCTCCGCCTTCGGGGCACAACCCTTCCCCAGAGCTGCAGTTTTCAAGCTTCTGAACTTCCACATTACAGAGCCCTCATAAAGCTCCCTCATTCAGCTCCTTAAGACTAGCCAGCAGCAATTAGCAAACACCTGGTGGAACTGCATATCTACTGAGTTCATTATAGGAGCTATTTTTCAGTGAAACGCTGGTAAAAACGTTGTTAAAGGGTTAATAGAGGATCCATGTTGTGACGACTTCCTGAAGGCGGAGTTTCAGAAAGAGCAGGGGCTTCTTAAAGAGACAAACACCCAATTTCAAGGCATCCAATTACAAAGTCAAATTATTTTTAGGTCATTTTTGATATATACAGCATTTCTATAACAACCAAAGCTGCTTCCCTGTTTGCTGGGTGGGCTCTGATAGCTACAGCGCTAACTCTCGGCTGCAGCTCATTAGCTCATTAGCTAATCCATAAGCTGGATCCGGATCTGGATCTCTTTCCTCTATTTTTCGTAGCTTGATATTGTTGTCTCAGATTTGGGGGCATTTTATCTGGAGGCAATTTGGGAAAAAAAAAAAAAAAAACACCCCCCAAGTGATTTTAGATGTTTTTTCTCTCTCTATTGGTTTTCTTATAAGTCTGAATGTCCTCCTCTCTCTCTATCTGTATGTGTGATATTAATGTTCCATCTGCCTCCCTGTCTGTCCATCTGTTCATCTGCTGTCCATCCAAACCATCACTCTGTTTATCCACCTGTCTTACCATCTGTCCAATTATTATACCTGGCCATCAGTTGCACAGTTGTGCTGCTTTGATGGTGCAGCAGCAATCAATGAGGCTGCCTCGTGCTATTCGGTCCATTTCCAACTACCTTGTTTGCCCATATGGCTCATTAACGTGTGTTATGGTGGCCGTTCTTTCTTTTATAGCCTACTATATTTGGATTCTGTAAAATCCTGTGTTTGGTGTTCGTCTTTTCTCAACAATGAGATTCTCATAAGGACAAATCATAGACAAAGAAAGTAACACACTAAGAAGCTTGTTATGAGCAGAGTGGTCCAGTGTGGTGTGTTTTCAGAGAAACGACCTGGACAGCTGCCAGCACTACCAGGCTGTTGCTTGCAGGGTGCTGAAACGCTTTGGGAAGATTTTTCTTGTTTAATATCTGGAACTAACAAAGCCTTAAAAGGACAGTTCTGTGTAAAATGGAATCTTTATTTAGCTTTACATGATGTTATAATGTTATTCTGTCATCAGAAATATACCTGGAGTGTTGCCTTGATTCTTCTACGCATTTTATATCAATAATACTTACAAAAAAATAAAATAAAAACAAAATTCTGGGTCTTCTCCCCATGGTAGCAGCCTCCACACTGAAACTCAACAGTTTGGTGGCGCTTAAATGAGATGCAAACCCTGATCAGAAAAAAAAAAGAAAATGGACTTTTGAATTTTTCACATAGAAGTTCACTGGTCAGGATCAACAAAGCTGCAACAAAGCTGCAAGTTTTTCAATTCTTAGTACAGCTCTACTAATATTTATTTTCTTATTTTGTTTATTTAGTAAAAATAAATATAGCCTGAACTGGTGGCTATTTGCAAGCTCTGTTGCCTTGCAAATAGACGATCTTGAGTTTGAATTTCTGTCTGGGATCTTCCTGTCCGGCTCACTCCACTGCAGATTGGTCTCCTAAAAATGCCACTGTAGTTCTGAATG